ATTAGGAATTTAAATGAATTAAATGTCTTTTAGAAAGTCATATATACTTATATTGATTTTATAGGAGCCCTATCCCTTTCTTTTTGCAGAATACTACACATTTTCGTCATTTATTACAAGACTTGTTTTCATGCTACAACATATTTCACTTAGGTCTACATGGCATGAACAAAAGTATGCACATGACGGATTCTGCTCAAAGCAATATTTGAGTATTACAATAATACATTAGAACGATGATAGTAAGTACCAACAGAATAGAAAATTAAGAGATACAACACCATCCACGAACTCCCTACTCCTCAGGAAAAAATGGAATTCACACTTCAGTGATAAACATGGGGTCAATAGTCTGACCTAGTACAGGTACATCCTGCTTGTGTGTGTGTGTGTGTGTGTGTGTGTGTGTGTGTGTGTGGTGCTGAAGGAGGTTTGAATGGGTTACGTGTGCACAAACCTCCACCTTTGTCTTTATATATCATGGTTACAGTAAAATACGCAATTGAAAGGAAAACTAAATAGTCCCGCTACCAACATCATGACCACTAACTTTAAACAGAGAAATAAAACAACCCCTAAGTTGAAAAGAATTTTGTTCAGAACGTGCGTCCCTTCCCCCTTTTCCCAAATGTGGCCTACTGAATTAGACTTTTAACCGGGTTTGTACTAACTTGAGAAACACGACGGGTACTACATGTGGAGCAGGATCGGCTTACCCTTCCGGAGCACCTGAGATCACCCCAAGTTTTTGGTGGGGTTCGTGTTGCTCAATCTTTAGTTTTCTATGTTGTGTTTTTTGTACTCTTGTTTGTCTGTTGGTCTTTTTATTTTTTAGCCATGGCGTTGTCAGTTTATTTTCGACTTATGAGTTTGAATGTCCCTCTGGTATCTTTCGCCTCTCTTTTACTACGGAAAGTAAGCTAAGGTTGCCAATAATGTTGGTATGATACTAGTACTCATGGAAACAAGAGAGATACATTACTTCTAACATGTTTATAAAGAAAAGAAGCGACAAATGGAAATGGGCAGTATATTCGAGAGACCAGAACGTATTCAAAATCAGCAGACAATCGAAGAAAAAAACTAATTTAATGCATCATGCCGGTTTTCATTGTTGACAGATGTCAGAACTTTTACGATTTTAAATATGTGATTTTACAGTTCTATTTACGATATTTCAATAGAATAATGGATGAGAATCACTGTCTTATATAAGATTGCGTAGAAATAGGTATATTAACAGATAAAAGAGAGACAAAATATACCAAACTGAAAATGCCATTGCAAAAAACGAAAAACGACTAAAAGACAAACACAAGTACGCAAAACGCAACATAGAAAACTAAAGACTGAGCAACACGAACTCTACATTATTTGTTTCTATTCTAAAATAGCTAACTTGTAATTTTATACTAATAACATATATTATCAATCTAATTAAAATGCAGATTCGTTGTCTACGCTTCGGTTTAAGCCAAGCAAAGCGTGAACACACAATTGAGACTTGTAAGAAATACTAATATTAATGGCTTCAATCCCTCGAAATATTAGCGAAGATCCCGGAGGTGGTATACATAGATGTGAATCAATCATTTTGGGTGTTTGCCTGAGGTAAATTGTGTGAAACGTGAACTCATCCGGGAGTGTATTGCCCAGAAACGTGTCTTAGTAAGGAGTAAGTTTTATTCGCCCTATATTTCGGACAACTGTACACGCTATTTAATTTACCTTTTTGATCAAACAATATTTCGACTAGCTTTCTTGCAAATTGAAGATATGCATCAATATAACTGTTTGGTAATCTGTCATCTGTTTAAGGTCTTTGAAAGCCGTCATGTTACGTTTTTGGTGAGAAGTCAATTGCATGTGCTAGAGACACACATTAACTTATTAGGGGCACACAAAAGTAGATAGCTTGGGTTTAAGTTCGTTATGTTTTGTGTACTTGGTGAAAGTAATAGTTACTGGTTAAAACCACTGATCATGTGAATGTTTCATGGATAAAGAAAAAGACTAAAACGTCCGTGTCAAGATATTATTTAATATGAAAGTAAAGAGATGTGCTATGAATGTCAATGCGACCACTCTAAACCACTACTATCCGTAATAGTGGACATATCTAAACTGTCTATCGACATGGATAATGTGCAGAATCGAAGGGGTCGCCCAATGAAGCTTAATATCACAAGTGTTCAATGGGCTAGACAAAGCAATGCGGAATTCACTCGAAATGTCCGTCGTTGATTTAACTTTTATGTAAAAAGTCCATTTTCTTTTACACAAAAAAGCGAAAATACTATAAACTAATAAATACTTGCGTGCTAATTAAAAATTAATGACCGTGAGAGAAGTGATCAATTTCCGTGTTAAACTTTTTAAGCTTTATAAAATGTTGATTTTTATTGTCAACACTTTATATTTTTTTATACTTGCTCTTAGAAATTTTTATCAGGAATAGTCTTTAAGATGTTTAACAGGTTAATTACCCAATCAGATACAATTGTGTTCATTTAGGGACAAGCAAATGAAGTTTATGTCTTTATTTTTACGATATTTCCAAACAACTTGAAGTTGTATATTTGATACATAAGATGCCAATAAAAATCTAAACTGACAATTATGAATAATGGTTATTACACAAATTTAATTCTCTTGGAGAAAATGCAGGCATATTAGTTCAAATAAACATTTTGAAATATGTGGATGACAAAGTTACATAAATAGTCTATTCGGAAAACGATTTTTTTGGAAAATTGTGACCATTCGAATTTCTTACGACAGGGAGGAAATAAAAGTAGACATATTTATGTTTAATATAAGATAAGTTCTAGCCATGTGTTATTTGGGGAGATTAAACTCAATACTTATACGACTTCTAGCCTGTTTGTCACCGCACTATGACAGTTATCCAAAAGTAATGTAATAACTTTTAATAACGTAAAGTATTCGATTTTTTTTTAATTTTACCTGTTTTTGTCAAATTTTGAATCGAATAGCATCGCTTGCCAAAACTTATTATTTTGTATCAGAAATACAACAGTTATCTTTATTTCCAGCAGATGGTTTGATTAACGCATCTTTAGAAGGATTTATTCAATATTTCTCATTAATGGTTAAAATTGTCAACATTTTTCAAAATTGCGAATTGGACTATTTTCACGCACTAACAATTTGGTAATCTTTTTAGAAATAAGCCATATAAATGTCAGAACCCTAAAGTACACATATTGTGCTGTAATACTAATATATGGAATGAAGAAAAGATTGAAAACATTTAGAAAATGGCTCTGCTGCGACATATAGTCAAGGAAAAATAGCACGTCTTCTTTGTTCCATGCAGGGACGGTAAAATTACTGAAGTCGTCGTTTTTGTTGTCTCAGGTATCAAAAACCACATAACTATTCTTCAGTAAATAAATAATCTTAGATTGTTTTGGTTTAATTTGTCGGGACAACTTTGAGCTTTACACATTGGATAGATTATGACTGTCTATTGTTGAAGAATATTTATGGCCTTCAAGATCAGGTAGATGTCACTTTGTTATTTTAATCGTTAGGTTGAAGTGTCGTTTACTTAAACCGCACATTTTTACTTTATAAAACTTATAGAAATACATAAAATTGTAATTCTATGGGGATTTATAATGTTACTATGTTTTTTTTTTTCATCCATTTTCTAGCTTGAAATAACAACGAATGTGAAGTTTGCTACAAAATAAGAAACAAGAAATGATGTTTGGCTAATATTTCATTAAACTATTCATCATGTTAGTTTATGGGTCTTTTTTTTTATATTCGTGTGTGGTTTTTATTTCCTGCCTACCTGGTTTGATTTGACAATTTATTTGATATTTTCTTCGTTAGATGCACCCCTTCTTCACCCCTTCCCCTTCTCAACCTCCTTAAAAATATAACACAACAAAAAGAGACAAAACAAACATGACTTAATTTCCATCAGAAATGTATATGACGACGGCTACTTGCTGCTAATCGTGAATTTACCTAGCATACTTCGACCAGTTGCATATTTCGGTGTTGGTATTATGAGGACACAAAATTTATCCGGTTGACACACCATTCCGAGGTCTTGATTTGGATATTTTCTATTAGGATTGCAGGATCAATGAACCAAAACTAACCTTCACCGTCTCCTTATGTCGCTCATCTATAAATCCCAGACATAACTTGTAACCATCAAACGGAGATAATTTTATTTGTTAAAGAGTTCTTTTGAATTGCAGCACAAACGGGTTATGCCTATATCATTCACATCTATCATATCTTTGAATTCCAGCAATAGGTAGGATTATACATGTACGGTTCATCGATTTTACTCATCAAATTAGTTAAAAAGGCTTATTTTCTTATTAGTCATTTGGTACATTATGTTATTGTGATCGAAACATATGCACAATAGTGTGTTGAGAGAACTGCTGTTTGTGTTTATATCCTTTTCCTTATAGGCCATTGTGTTGGGGTTATTTTTCTAATTTACGGTTTTCAATTTGCCCTTGGTGTCTTATTCGTGTTAGGTGCGGATTTAGCTTTACGTAAGGTCGTTTTTGGATTATCAGATCTTCAAAATTTGTATTATGTTTTGGATTTGTAAATATTTTGGCATTGATCATCACTAAAGAGACATTTTTTGTCGATATAAGCATATGGTGCTTTAATGTTGTAAACCCAAATCCAGCGACTTGTCAAAATGATATCAATAAAACGATTTCATCCATCTTAATAATATTTATAAAATGAAAACTGTCCAATTTCTAAATCACAGGTCAAAGCAGATGAGGTTCGAATGCTTCTTTACAAAAAAAATATAATGTTTACCCGACTTTCAAGAACAAGCGGATCAATCAAAAAAAAAATCTGAACATAAATTCAAAAAGTTTGAAACTGAGTTTTAAGAGCAAAATATTTCATATTCTTCAACTGAAAAATATGTTACAGTCTATCATAACATTTGGGACACTTAAGCAGTTTATTTTGTTACTTACCACATCGTCCCGCTGGAATTGTTGATGAACAGTCAAGGGCTATCAGATTATTTTTTCCTGACATGCATTTTAAGGTTGTACAGTGTCCTCCTTGTCCTGCTGATACATGTCCTAGATACTCTATAAAACATTAAATTTTACAAATATAACAATAAACAATACAAAGATGTGGTACGAAGCCAAAATACGTAATGTTTATTTCACTTCTATCATTTAAATGTGATTTAATTCAAATCTGGAATCATTGGTGAGTTTTTATTTCTTAGACACAAATATATTTTTGGTCTTATTATATTGATTTGTTGTTGTGTCATTTAATTTATATTGACGCGTTCTCGCTATTCTAATGTAAATGGAATTTTTGCCGATTTTATAACAATTTTCAAATTTATAGATAATATCAAACCATTAACTTTAAGACAAAACTCATGAAAAGGATTTTTATGTCGATGCTCCTTTTAAGTTAATTAAGAAATTAAACGTTGCCTATGACAAATTTTATCGCACAAGAAACTCCACTACGTATATGTATTTATTTGATGTATAAAATCTTTAACATATTTGTAATTGGTGGATATCAATATTGAACAAATGTTTTAATTGCAGATAAGTCAATATGAAAGACGTGTTCACACTCTAAATAAGAATTAGTTAAGGAGTTATGTATTAACGGTTGATTGATTTGATTGTTGGTTGATTAACGTTAAGTGGATGTATTATCGAATGACCTCGTGTGCTATTGCAGTCAAATATATATTTTTTCTTCTTTTTCTTACTTACATTGTTTTATTTGTGTATGTTAATAAATGATAAAAAGTAAAATAAAAAACCGAAATCCAAGGAGTTTTTTATCAAATTGCAAAATCAAAAGCTCAAACACTTGAAACGAATGGAAAACAACTGTCAAATTCCTGACTTGGTACATGCATTTTCTTATGTAGAAAATGGTGGATTAACCCTGATTAAATAGCTCACTAAACCTCCATTCATTTGTACGACAGTCGCATAGAATTCCATTATATTGACAACAATGTATGAGCAAAACAAACAGATATCAAAGGTAAAAATGTCAAAAATTGGGAAACAAAGGTCAACATTTTATCATAATCTTAATCACTATAAAACAAATAAATATGGAAACAAAGAAAAACAAAATGGCGTAAAGACACTCTTTAGTCAAAGCACATAAGCAAAAATGAAAGACAAAAATACAAAAAATGACCATAACACAGTAACACAATGGCAGGATGTATAAATACCGATCAACGTCAAAAGGATATTACAAAAAATGGACTAAACAATAAAGGTTAAAAATATACAAAGACAAACAACAAAAACACAATAACACGTAATTGAAATGATAAACAACGTCATTACCTAGAACCTATACTTCAAGACCATCATGTATTATTTGTGAAGTTGATACGGAATATTTATCAACAAGTTCTTGGTATCTTCCGATGAACTTTTTTAGAAAAAGGACGAGACGTTCTTTGATATAACCATGGTTCATTAAAACACATAGTAAGCTCAGTAGCATTCATGATGTTTTTTTGACTTGTACGATTACGCAACTGTGATATTTTGACTTAGTTTTGATACGATTGGCGGGTGATGCATGCATAACATATTTTATGTGTTTTAACCATGATTTTTGTCTTTTAAATAGGTTGCTTACATCTATACATTTCAATCATCTGCTCTCTGTGGATAGTTGTCATTCCACATCTCTTTTTCTTATATTATGAGATTTGAATATTCATAATCTACTGTTGCCTTTAATTAGTAATAATGCTTTTTCAACAATTATACACAACAAATATTTTACACCGGAATAGAAATCCTTATCTGTGGACGTGAATTAAATCATCGATTTAACGGATAATAAATCAAACCTTTGAGTATTTTGGTTTGCAGTTTTAATACTTTCAAAATTATCTATATTTCAATTTCTAAAGCAGATTAAGACAAGAAGGGGGTTTACATTTATAAGGACTATGTTTTGATCCTTGAATTTGTATTATAAATCTTTCAATTAATATCTCTCGGGAATTTACCAGACATAAGTTTGCAAAGCTACAAGAAATAAACTATAAATAAAATGGATTTTATTTGTTATACGTTTTTAAATTAGTCTGTATTTTCTCAAATCTGTATAACTGTAAATATAACTTGAGTTTAACTACTTCCAGTTGTTAATAAGATTACTGCAACAACATATTTTAACCACAAGTCCTATTAAAAGATTTTATAAGTGAAATATCTTTTTAGGTGAGTCTGTTGCACATTATAAGCTATACGGTTTGCTATTGACCCCGTATGGATCCATAGAGGGTCCGCAGAGAATCGTATAACAAATGTATCGCATACGGGACTTTTCCTGCCAAATTGTCAATTCAAATAAACAATGAAATACAATAACATTAATATTGACGTCACCATTAATAGTAGACGCGACGTCATGAAACCTCTATGAAATATATCTACCCCTATTAATAAACAAGGATCACCACGTGACGGCATTAAACCTATCACAACGTCACTAATTTTCCCGCTGTGCGAAAATTTGTATAAAATGACTACTTCGAACCCAGATAGAAAGAACAATTATGGAAGTAGAATATATTTCAAATAAAATACCTCATCCTCATAACTGTAAATTTGTCAATAAGTACAATATATGTGGGTAATTTTGATATCAAATGAAAGCTTACGGACTTGGGGTCACTGTAGAATCATTGTTAAAAGGATTTTGAAAGGAATGGGCTTTGAATTACGGGGTTTATTTCACAACTGAAAAGTATGTGTGAAATTCATAAAGTATACCCATTACAATTACAATTGATCACATTTGTTTTTAGAAGTCGTGCTGCATCAAATATTTTACAAAAATTTTTATATCGGTTTCAAATAACAGCCAGGAAAATATTTCAGCCTTTTTATATAGGTCTTTTTGCTCTAATACAGTTAAGGTAGCAATACACAGTTAGGAGTGTAGTTTCGCATTTTGGCCATGGTGGATTTTTCAAATATGAAAGTTATTGTGCAATAAAATTCATTTTTAGACAGCTAATGACTAATTTAGCCTTCAAAGTGGGTTCATAAGAACATCAAGATTATTTTTTACATGTTTTATGGGCTATTTTATGTTTGACTCTCCTTATTGTCATAGCCAGACCGGCCATAGGTCCAGAAATTATTGTAATATTTACAAACACTTTTTTTTCACAAGAACGTTTTGACGCAATTTTACAAAAAAATGAGACGAAAGACATATGATTTTTATTGATAGATATATGTAAACAGTTTCAGAAAAGATATCACTCCAAAGTATTGCAATTCTACTCTTGGCCAAATTTTTGGGAAATATGTGACATCTTTACCCCCTTTTTTGCAATTTTTTATAGCAATTAAATGCAGATTGTTGCCATTGATACACCTAAAAGAATTTTTTTTAACCATTTTAACTACTGGAAATCAAATTTTCAGAAGAGATACTGGTTACATACATATGCACATATATGACACAAACATTAAGCTTAATTTGTAAGAAAGCAAGGAAAAGGGGATGGTAAAATTTATTAGGGTAATTTTTTATTTTTTCCCTAACTGTATATTACTACGTTATGGCATACTTGGAACGATCAGAAAAGCATAATTTAAAACTATTCATACCATAAATCTATAAAGATTGGGTTCTAAATCAATTTCTGAGAAAATAAAGTGTTTTAGAATGACAATACATGTCAATTTTATTTTTTATTTTCCTTAGTAACAAAAAATAGACAATTTGACTTAAAGCTTATATTTGTACTCTATTTGCTTAACCCTTGCTACCGAAGGATTGCGCTGTATGTATAAGCCAAAGTATTGAATGCTTTGTATTTTTATGCGAATATATCACATTATTATTTTTAGCAAGGTTTCATGTTACATTTTGGCTAAAATTAAATGTATTGTTGTTTTGACTGTTAGAAATTGATTCCCTAATAGCAAGTTTCATAATCAAGGCTTTGGAATGCAATACATATAAAAAGTAACATTGTGTGCTTTAAATTGGTTAATTTTGTACAATTTTGCATTTTCAGACATCTTATTATGATTTGCAACATTAAAAAAAAATACCAGAGGTATAGTTTTTAAAATTTAACCAAAAATTAGGGCAGAGGAGATAGTACATATATTAAACAAAATAGTTTATTCGCATACTGTAACTTTGTCAATAAGTAAAATATGTGGATAATTTTGGTATCAAATGAAAGTTGAAGGGCATACGATACAGGGGAGGTAATGCAGTCGCTAACGTAAATTTTCTTTTCGTGACGTAAACCTGTGAGATACTGGAAAAGATGTATTTTTCATTAGTTTGAACACGAGTTCATGGACTCCTATTTTAAGATGACATTTGGTTTTATTACGTATAAAGATTATTTGAAGAAGTTTGTATGAACAAATCACTGATGATTTTTTTAATTTAGGTAGGGACATATACAGTAAACATGTTTTTTTTCTAAAATCATGAAAATTTAAATGACATGAATTATTTCCAAAGAATTGTGACATAAATTTAAATATTCTTATGTAAAGAAGATATTCCGAATGTTTTTACAAAAATCTGCTTGTGTTAATCTATTGAAACAAAACAGTTTGGTATGTTTGTCAAAAGCATAGAAATTTCTAAGAAACCGAAACGTGAAGCAAATGTCTAAATTTCCGGTTCTTTTGTTCTCTAAAAGTAGCACATACAGGTATATTTTGTGTTACATATTTGAAGTAACTAGGTGAAACATTTTTTTGCAAACATTCGTAAAAAAAATCACCGTGGGATCAAAACTGTATCGCATGCCCTAAAGGACTTGGGATCGCAGTGAAACCTTTTTTGAAACTTTCTTTTGAATAGTCAAAAAAATATATTATATTAAAATAGGAGGGCCGTGTTGATCAGATCACAAGTACATGTTTTTTTACTACTATACTTCTGGGAACCAGTGCGCTCTAGTATGGAATTATACAATTAAAGGTATGTTGAACTCTCGCAGCACAAATTAGATAAGGTATAGTTTTTACATGAACTGTTGCTCACCTTATTTGAACTTAAGAAGAAATAGCAACAAATGCTTAAATGAGCAGAATTTAATATAGAAAGCTATAAATTAGTTGTTTTATCTATGCTATGTGTGATATATGAATTTTCCGCAAGATATGTGAATTATGACATACCTTTTGATAATAATAACAATAATTTTAATAATAATTACAATAATAAATATAAATCTATTTTTAAACAATTATAAACGGTCTCTCTCTCCTTCGAAACATGATTGATTGATTGAATGATTAATTAATTGATTAATTGATTGGTTGGTTGGTTGTTTGGTTGATTAAACACATGGGACCGGGTCTCTTGGAAAAAGCAAAAAAGAAAAAAATTATATCTTGGACCCCCTATTAAACATATGGGACCGAAACATGATTGATTGATTGATTGATTGATTGGTTGAATGACCTTTTCATTGATTAAAATTTAACATTGCACTCTCTACCCGAGACAACGATTTTAACGTCCTCATTCTGGCCGAACGTGGATGCGTATTTTCACAACCCGCACAACCAAACGGACGGCATGCACGCCATAATAAGAATAATCCTTGCATCTTCTTCTAGAAATTTCCTCTATTTCCTACAGAACCTCGGACTTCATGTTTTATTTATTTGTTGTGTGTGCATTTTGTTTGAATTTGTAGGAAAACTGACTTACATTTTGTATTGTAGTTTCATTTTCTATATTTGAATGTGGAATGTTTTATTCTAAATTTAGGCCCGCACTTGTGGTGGTGGGTGGTTGTGACGTCAAGATGCTTATTAAGATTATCTCAATTATAGTTATTTTTAGCCTTTTTGAGGGTGATGGTTAAACAGACCATGCATGTGTATTGACAGAGAAGCACGATAACAATTGATTTGTTTTTTACAGTTAATTGATGTTTGATCATGCACATTTTTTTTCGTACACATGTTTGCATGAGCGCATATTTGTATTCTAATGCATGTTTAGAAATTTGGAGCAGAATTTTGCAGGGATGGATTTCTATTTCAGAAGTTTGTACATAAGGCGGATTGTACTTTTTAAAGTAAAATCTACGGAACTGAAGGCGATTTTCATGTCATACAATTAAGATTTCTCATAAATAAATTAGGTGCGGGCGGTGATTGTGGACATTGGTTGATTTATTGAGATAAGATACATGTTCATCATGATAGCTGCAAAGTTTGAAGTTATGATTAGTCAATTTGTTGATTCCACCATTTCAGGGACATTGAACACCCAAGAAAATAACGTGTACTATTTTGACAAAATTTTCTTGTCGTGACTTACATTTTGGTAACATGTTTGTTGTTGATATCTATAACTCGATATGTAGTGAATGTAAAAACTAAGAACATGACCTTGACCTTTGACATTGATCTCATTTTCTTAGTAAAGAGCAAAGGACCTCAAGTGAAAAGAATCTAGGTTTATACGGCTTACGTTTTATGAATTACAAAACATAATGATAAATTTAATTGGTAAAGGTAGATAATTCCTATAAGATGTCACTGGATCGTTAGTTCCAAATCAGCCACAAATTCCTGAGGTTGTAACGAACAATTAATAAAAAGAATTGTGTCGCTACCTTTTTTGATTATGGAGGAAAACAGTGTTTGGGGAGATAACTCTTACAATAAAATGTCTTCTGTTAAATATGGTTTTAAAAGCGCAATAACTTTTCGATATAATATCCAAAACATCTATGCGACATCTTGCGCAACCACTATACATCGCAAGAAAAAAAATGTCGAAAGAAAAAAAAATTATAATTAAAAACCAATTGTTCAGAGAACAATTGAAGGTCTTTCCACAGCAAATTTCAAATTCATTGAAAAGAAGCTAGTTCTTGTTTACTCAAAGTTAAAATTGGCATCTTATCAGTTTCTTCATACTGATGCGATAAATAAGTGGTTTCTATATACTTCTGAGTGAAATAAGGGAGATAATTGGCTACTTCCGGTGAAGTAAATGTCACTTACGGTCTCATATGATAGTTTCTTTCACACTGATTCCAAAAATACAGTTTCTATATACTTTTGTCTGTAAACCAGGAGATTATTGGCCACTTCCGATTTATCGAAAGTCATTTCTAGTCTTCAGTGATAAGTTAATGAATTAAAATTACAAAATGTATGGATTACGAGTACTTTTCCATGAAGAAAGTGCAAAATGGATACTTCCGGTTTTCTGAAGGTCACTTTCGGTTGTCATTTTTCAAGGTCATATGTCTACCAACCTTTTGTAAAAGGTCATATGGCTTTATAATGAACCAAGTTGAAGTAATAATCAATTAACCTTATAATTAGACATTTCAGGGGCACTAACTCCTATAAGATGCCATCAGATTGATTCAAACCAAATGTAACATATCTTCATTACAATAAAGCAAACAATTTGCACTTGTTCTGTCATATATATCTTTAAAAGTGTTGGACAAAATGCAAAAACAAGGAAAAGTCAAAATAAAGAACTTGACCTTGACCTTTGACCTTGACCTCATTTTCTAAGTTAGGACCTCAAATAAAAAGATTCCATGGTTATACGGTTAACGGTTTATGAGTTAAAAAAACAAATTTATTTGGTAAAGGTAGATAACTCCTATAAAATTTCATCGAATCGCTTCGATCCAAATTGATTCCAACAAAATATGGTTCTAGATACTTTCATATTTAACTTATGCAAAATGTGGCTACTTCCGGTTCACGAAAGGTCACTTCCGTTTGACTGTTCAAGGTCATGTGTTTTCCTACCAAATGAAAAAGACTCTATGGCTTTATCATGCATCAAGTTATACCAAAGTCAATATAAAGAATGTCCATATATATTACAGTTTTTTAGGGGTAGCATGCACAAGTAAAAGCAAAAAAAAAAGACATGACCTTTATCTATGACTTTGATCCCATTTTCTTTTTAGTGGACCAAGGAACTCAAAGCAAAAGACCCTATGTCTGTATTACTTATGGCTTATGAGTTACTATTACATCACTTTTGTCGAAAACATAAAGGGAAATAACTCTCATATGGAATCTTTAGATATCTTCGATCAAAATTATTCTCGGCAACCTGAAGATATAGCAAGCAATTAGGTAAAAGGATTTTGTCGTAATCTTATAGGGTTGCGAAGAAGAAGTGCACACAGGAAAAATATTGTTCGGGGAGATAAATCTTACAAAGTAAAGTGTTTGGTAAAGCAGGGTCAGTTTCAAAAGCGTACATATAGACTGTTCGATATTATATACCAAAAATCTATTTTGAAACAACTATACCACGCAAGAAAACAAAAATAGGCGAACAAATAATCAAAACAAAATCAAACGGTTTTTCCACGGAAAAATTAAAAGACCTAATTATCAGAATAAAGTCAATAGTTATTTCCACGAAAAAGTGGAAAGACCTAATAACAACACTGATGAAAATGATAGTAACAATACTATTATCATTATTGAAAACAAAACACTTATGCAACATGCCTAGGCTCGTTAATATCAACTTATTGTAATAATAAGCAAAATGTGAAAGATGAAAAATCATGTTGTAAATAAGTCTCAGTTGAATGTCACAAACCTTGATAGAAGAAATACGCATTTGAAAATGTCTTGTTTGCACAGTCTTGAATTGCTGCTATGTCTGTCGGTATATTTCGAGCACATCTACACACTTTTGTTTCTTCCTACAATTGGAATAATTTAAAATCATACTGACATGAGAAAAACATCTAACATATCCTCTCTTCCTTGCGCTGATTATGACTAATCGCCGTATTGTTCCACCCTGTTTCCGCCCTAATTGGTTGTACCTCACTACATTTGAAATACAGTTTAATTTCAACTGCTTCAACTATTTCGGTTCCTATACATCATTGGCTTTCAAATAATTGGCTTTGAGCATTCCTGATGAACGTAATTCCAGGCAAGCGCTTCGGACGAATGCAGTTTGTAAAGTGTTATTATAATTTTTTTACACCTATGGAGCAACGGAGTATCATCGTAGTATAGTATGAAATGGTTTTGTGTGGCTTTTTAGTGTTGTGTTTTGTGCTCCCTTAATTAAGATCTCGATGTTTTAACCGGTTATGTCTATTCTATCTATTGTCATAACGTTTGGTATTTCAGACTTTCTTTTTTGTTAAAGTTGATTGGTAAGATCTACCATACCATTTACATTTATCAACATTTGAGGAATTTAATGACGTCATTAGATTAAGCAAGCACCATCTATCAATCCATTATTGTATGTTGCTTTATTACCCGACGTCACTCCGTGGTAAAGAGAATATCAGAAGAAGTAAGAAAAACATTACGGTAACGCAATTTGGTTACTCGTTTTTAATTAATCAAAGATATTTTCATAACCGTAACCCTAACCTTAACCCTAACCCTTAACCCTTACCCTAACCCTAATCCTAACTCTAACCCTAACTGTTCAAAACCGAATATTTAAATAGTAATGAGTAAGATTTGCTTAAGGCTTAAGGACAAACCTTTTAATGAATGTTCATATTGATTGACAGAATGTTATCAACTGGTAATTGAACATGTTGAAGTAAGGATATTGCAAATGGTTGGAAATGAGAGACTGAAATATCCGTTTGTAAAATATAGTATGAGGGATCTAATATTGGACGATTGCAACAGGTGTAAAACTTTCTTTATATTTCGATATTAGGAATAGAACTAAAAAATCATATTTGTCATCTATTTGATTTATCATTCCAAACAATGTAAATCATGCCATAGATACAAATTTCGACAACAAAGAAGAATACGATGAATAACAACAATAAACAAACAGGACGTTAGTTTTCTCGTTTATTGTTTTGTACATAAATTAGTTTGAATTGTTTTACATTTGTTATTTCGCGACTTTTTATAGCGTGATATGCGGTTTGCGATTTGCTCATTGTTGAAATCCATATGGAAACCATGGTTGCTACTCATTAAAAATCATACCACATTTCTTCAATATTTACAGAAATTTTATGAAAATCTAAGATAACAAAATTTATATGTCAAAGGAAATATTTCAAATGCAAATTTAGTCGAACTCAAAAACATTTAAGTCAAACGTCGTGTTTTGGAAATGATTTGAAATTGGATTTAAAATAGCAAGGAAAATAATAGGGTAATCATTTGATGTGTTAATTCCATTACGTCGAGGTCAATGCAATCGCTTAAAAATCACAGTTTGCCGATATTCCATAATTCTTATTAGATATGAGTAATCCTTATATTATTACTATTAATTCAAAATAACCTCAATATATCTTAACTCTTACATGAAAAGAGATGTGTACCTATCTTTATAACCAGCGTGCACAGAATTTGCATAGATTCTAATAATACAATGAGAAACCCTGGTTTACTTAAGAAGATCAAAACACTCCTTAACAATTTCCCTAGCAATCAATTATGACATTTAGTGGTATTTATATCCAAAGTGACTACTGGATGGTTTTGTTGTCTTGAATTAATATCATTCCTGTGATTTATATCCCTCGCTCTTACTATTTGTATAACTTGCTGGTTAATCTACATTTATATCTGTTAACACACTATCTGTTGTTGTTTTTCATTTTAGAAAGTAAATTGGTGAATTACATGACACAAATTATCCATGAAATTATAAGAATTATCTTAATCAGGATTTGAAATATTTGTATTTATAATGTGTCTTGATCTGCCTTGATTTTAGCTTGCGGAAACAAAAGAAAATCATATATTTGTATCTATAGATGTCTGAATCAAAGGCTAGTTTTCCATTTATGCTGTATTTGATATGATTTGAATCCAGAATTTGGACACGCTATATGCATATGTTAGTAACAAATATCAAGACGTAAAATATAATAATATGATAAATGTTATACTTTATTGTTTTGGTTTCTGTTTCAACAGATATCTTAGGAATATCGTGATTGAAATTTCAGTTACTTCAATCGTGACCTTAATCAAATTAACCATTATTATATTTATCTTCGAACATAATTAGTAAATTATTTTTTTTTTAAATACTTTATTGTTTTGGTTTCAGTTTCAACAGATATCTTAGGAATATCGTGATTGAAATTTCAGTTACTTCAATCGTGACCTTAATCAAATTAACCATTATTATATTTATCTTCGAACATAATTAGTAAATTAATTTTTTTTTAAATACTTACGTTGTATCCAAAATATAATGGTGATTCAGGTATGACGGATTTACACTTTATTTGGCATTCTGCAACGGATAAGGTTTCTCTCAATTCTGTCATTCTTATAGGGTCATTAACTTCATAACAACCTATTAGTTATAAAATAACGATTAAAGGAAAATGAGAATACTTTTCACTAAAAACTAGTTTATACATATTGCATAGTTAAAGCAAAATATGAATGCATTGATAAGAAATATGCCTTGCAGTTTAAAATCTTTTTCTTCTTTAATCTTTCAAATCGTTCCCGATAAAGTTTAATCAAGAAACGCGCTTCGGACGCACGAACTTCATCAAGTGTTATTTTCATTCCATATTTAAAACATACATACTACACTACGTTGCTTACCATACAATTCGCTGCATTGGTTTCATGATTATTGCACATTTCTAATGACGCTCGTAAAAAGTTGAAATATGTAATGCAGTGTATAAATAATAGTATTTTCATTTGTTGAAACCCCTATACTTTATATTTTTAGTATGAATTATTGTGTTTGTTTGTTGTTTTGTTTTTCTTATTTTGTTCTGTTTGGTTTTTGTTTTATCTTTGATAATTAAGGTTTTTATACCCCACCACGCCTAAAATCGTCTTAACTAGATTTGGATTTTTTTGTATGGTTTCATTCGTAAATATAGCTCCATATGCAGACTTCTTAAACGTTCAGGTATTTCACATCCAATTTTTATGGAAATATTCTTTATAAAGCACAAAAATGTCAGTATTCACCTCTGAAGATAACAAAACCTTTAAATAGACTTATTAAGAAGGGATATAGTTACGATACTGTTGTCAGGTCATTAAAGATTGCATATTTTGGCGTTAATATTGATTCACTTACAGGGTCTTTGCATCGGCACTAAACACATTTATTTAAAAACCAGTTGTTGGCATGACACGAGTTATGTTCTTCTCATATATGTTATGATGGTATGATACTAAACCCCTAACGGGAAGGATTGTGCCTGATATTCATATGATGAAGACATAATCTTTCAATCAGTTTAATTGAAGTCTGGAGCTGGCATGTCAGTTAACTGCTAGTAGTCTGTTGTTATTTATGTATTTATGTATTATTTTCATTTTGTTTATTTTCTTTGGTTACATCTTCTGACATCAGACTCGGACTTCTCTTGAACTGAATTTTAATGTGCGTATTGTTATGCGTTTACTTTTCTACATTGGCTAGAGGTATAGGGGGAGGGTTTAGATCTCATAAAAATGTTTAACCCCGCCGCATTTTTGCGCCTGTCCCAAGTCAGGAGCCTCTAGCCTTTGTCAGTCTTGTATTATTTTTAATTTTAGTTTCTTGTGTACAATTTGGAGTTTAGTATGGCGTTCATTATCACTGAACTAGTATATATATTTGTTTAGGGGCCAGCTGAAGGACGCCTCCGGGTGCGGGAATTTCTCGCTGCATTGAAGACCTGTTGGTGACCTTCTGTTGTCTGTTCTATGGTCGGGTTGTTGTCTCTTTGACACATTCCCCATTTCCATTCTCAATTGTATTTATTTGATATATTTTATATCATGTGTCTACTATGTGTATAAATCATGTATTACAGCAACCATTCTGCATACTTCAATTCGTAATGTGGTTACATCTACATTACATCTACGTTTACATAGGTTTTTTTCGTGGAATATCGTCAACGTATTGAAAATGTATGTAAATCAAAACATCTAAATTTAAATAATAAATCAACTGATAGGGTTACTGGCCAACAAACAACGCTTGACATATGGATGAGATATATCAATATTATCCCTTTTATCTCGACATTGTAATTACGTCGTGCAACGACATGAAGATAACGTATGTATTGTTTTAATCATTTGTTTTCATCTTAGTATCATTTGAATTCAGCAATTTATAAAGTCTTGGAGAAGAAAAAAAAATCCCAAATTTTTCAAACGCTGGCATTAGTTAGCAAGTGAAATATATTACTGATGACTTTTGTAATGTTGGATAAGCAAAAGTCCGAACGATAATGAATTTGTCGAAATAGAAATATTTATTTCTGCATAATCTGTTCATGTTTTATTTTCTTTTTTTGGGGGGAAAGGGGGGGGGATATTTGTTGTTGTTGTTTTCTTTTTTTCTTGTTTGGGGGTCTTTCTTTTATTGTCTTTGATTTTAATCATATCTGAAGCTATATTTTTTATTCTTAGTGGGAATTACCCAGTATTTCTACCCAGTCTAACGTCTTCCTGTAAATAGCCTTCCCAATCCAAAAGGTTTTATTTTGAAGAACATTAAATCCTTTTAAAATGCTTTCATTGAATTCTAAGCCACCATTATCACATCTTTCTGACGCTTTTGACCAAGACAATAATTCGTCATGCCTAACATCAGTTGAATGGTATGCTAAAATATATGGATAAACAGAAGACATAAATTAGACACACATTACGATTGTTAACGGCTTCTCTCCAATTAATAAAAAAGAAATAAACTTATCAATATTAT